ACCAGGGCACATACCTGGGTTACGGACTCATTCCCCAGTGTGGGGTGTGCAGGAGGCAGGCGATCAATGATTCTCTCTCATCGATATTTCGATCTCTCTCTCCCTCTTTCTTCCTCTCTGAAATCAATAAAAATCTATTTTTTTAAAAAAATGTTAAAAGGTCTTCTTTAAGAAGAGAAGGAAAGAAAAGATAAAAAATATGAACAATAAAGTGGTAATAAATACATATCTATGAACAACTGAATCTAAAAAACAAAATGAACGAACGAGCAGAACAAAAACAGACTCATAAATACAGAGAATAATTTGACGGTTGCCAGATGGGAGGGGTTTTGGGGGATGGGTGAAAAAGCTGAAGGGATTAAGAAGTACACATTGGTTGTTACAGAATAGTGATGGGGATGCAAAATACAGCATAGGGAACACAGTCAATAATATTTTAATGATTATATAACTATGAATGGTGTCAGATGGGTGTAAGATTTATTGGGGTGATCACTTAGTAAATTATGTAACGTCTAATCACTGGGGTGTACACCTGATGTATGCCAAGTGTAATTTTTAAAAAAATAGCTCCTCATTTAAAAAAATAGCTCCTCATCCTCCCTAGCCTTCCATTTCAGCGCTCCAGAGCCTGATTCAATCTTACCTGTCAGATGTTATTCTTAAGGGATTCCCCACAGCACACCTCCTTCATGTCTGCAGTCGGGACCATTACCATTCCACGCACATCCTGCCCTTCCAGCCTCCACATACTTGACTGCTGTCGTCTCTTCTGGCAGTGCCTTCCTCCCACACTCTCCATGCCTCTGCCTAATAGTCCTAACGCTCCTTCAAGGCCAATCTCAAACCCCCTTTCTTCATAAAGATTTCTCTGACTACCCCCACCCATACCTCCAACCGTAAGTGGTCCTAAATGTCTGAGCCATATTTGGCCATTTGGAGTCGTGGGCAACCAGACAGCCGGGCTTGCAAGGCCTTGCCCAGTTTCAGCAGCCGTCACACTAGCCTGTATTCCTCAAAGTACAGACACTGGCAGGTCATCCTCAGAGAGGGGTGGAACACCCTTTGTGAATCTCACTCCATAGTCCTGGTTGCCTGTCTGAGGTCCACCGCTTCTATGATGACTGACACCAGGAATGTTCACCTCCTGGGGGCTATGACTTCATATAATAATATCAAATCATTGGTAAATACTGATGAGCCACTGAAGACTTATCTATCAGGGAGATTTAATAAGAGCTCAGAACAACCAGGAGGCCCATTTTAGTGTAATAATGATAACAGTAAATATTGAATGAGCACTTCATCCCAGGCAGCACTTCTACATGCATGATCTCATTGAACCACAATCCTGAGAAGTGGATTTCATTCTTGCTCCCACTACCAGAGGAGGAAACGGAAACATTTTTTTAAATCCTCACTTGAGGATATTTTTCCACTGATTTTTAGAGCGAGTGGAAGAGAAAGGGAAAGACAGTGAGAAACGTTTATGTGAGAGAAACACATAGGTTGGTTTTGCCTCCTGCACTCAACCTGACCAGAGCCAGGCCAGGGAGGAGTCTGCAACTGAGGTACATGTCCTTGACGGGAATCGAAACTGGGACCCTTCGGTCCGCAGGCCGATGCTCTAGCCACTGAGTTAAACCAGCTAAGGTGGACAAAACTTAAAAGTCTAAGTTAACATAAAATTACCGTGTGATCTAGCAATTCCACTCCTAGGTATATACCTAAAAGAACTGAAAACAGGTATTTAAATACATACTTGTACACCCATGTTCATAGCAGCATTATTTTCAACAGCCGAAAGGTAGAAACAACCAAGTGTTCATCAACTAATGAATGAATCATATTCCATACAATGGAATAAGTGGTCCTAAATGTTTGACCACTTGGAGTAATGGGCAACCAAACAGTCTGGCTTATAAGGCTTTGCCCAATTTGGAATGGATACAATGGAATATTGTTCAGTCATAAACAGGAATGAAGTTTTGATGCCTGCTACAACATGGATGAACCTCAAAAACATTATGCTAGATGAAGTAAGCCACATACATACACTGCAGCAAGTTTATTAACCATGCAATGCCTTTTATACACAAAACACTAAATAGGAGGTCTGTCAAGAGGAATATATTCTTTGTTTCTCTTAATCTCTAAGGGAGAGACAGAGCAGAAGGACAAATTCTCGGTACAGCATATCTCAGTAAATAGTTACAGACTTCTCGGTAAGCCATGAAAGGCTGTTCTCATTCTACAAAGGTTGCTCTCATTCTACTGATAACCGCCATCCAAACAAGTCTGGGAAAACTGTGTGGGTAAGGTTCCCAGCCTTGCTAGCTCCTTCAGGTGCAAGGACTGTGTCAGCTTACACCCGGTCTCCAACAATAAAAATGTTTTGAAAACAGATAGGGGTGATGGCTACACAACTTGTGAGTATATTTTTAACACTACTTAATTATACCCTTCAATGGTTAAAATGGTAAATTTTGTTATATATGTTTGAATATAATAAAACCAATTTTTTAAAAAAACATCATATAGCTAGAAAGTGGTCAAGCTAGGATTTGAACCCAAATTTATCTGACTCTAGGGTCCATGCTCTCAACCTTAGGGCTTCACTGCCTCTGGAGAGGACAGCAAAACACGAATGAGGACATCTGAGTTCTTGCCTTGCTGTCCTGTGTGACTTGTACAGCCTGACCTTTTCAGGCCTCACTTTCCTCAACTGTTAAATAGTGAGACGAGATTGAGACGAGATAAAATGTCGTTGACCGTTCCTTGCCGTCATTTGTCTGGTGATTTGGATTTTACAGCATGGAATGCCCCAAACCTGATTCCTGACCCAGATACCATTTGCTTCTGGTGCACA